CCCCCCATCAATAAACATATTCTTGGGTTAGGATTAAAAAACAACAACGAACAAACAAAAACTATAAGGACATGTCCTTTCCCACTGACCATTTATTGTCTAAAAAAAATAATTCTTAATCTTTTTTCTTGGCCTTGAATGTCTTTGAGAATCCAGTGAAATTTATGGGCCTTTTTCTAGAAGAGCACACACATGTACGTGTCATACACTTTTTAATTTAATCTTGGGACCTGCAGGTATCTATATGAGTCATATATCGTTATAAAACAAATTTCCTAAAACTTGAGGCTTGAAACAACAGTCAATCCTTCTCAATGTTATTATAAACCTAAAACTGCTCTTTTAAAAAGTCTTGATTGCAGAATGTGTGCTCTGCTAAATTCAGAGGAAGATACAGAGATTTTCCATATATCCCCAGCCTCTGCACATGCATAGCCTCGCNGTAGGTAACAGAAAAAAATCAGATTTCCACACTGTTTGTACTAACAAATTAATAACACTAATAGAATGCTTTTTTTTTTTTTTTTTTTTAACCAAAGGATGAACCTACATTGACACCATTATAATCACCCAGAGTCCATAGTTTACCTTAGGGTTCACTCTTGATGATGTACATTCTGCGGGTTTGGACAAATGTGTAATGATACATACCCGTTGTTATAATATCGTCGAGAGTATTTTTACTACCCTAAAAATCCTCTGTGCTTTGCCTGTTCATCTCCTCAACCCCTGCAACCACTGATCTTCTTACTGTCTTCGTAGCTTTGCCTTTTCTAGAATGTCTCATAGTTGGACTCATGCAGCGTAGCCTTTTCTGATTGGCTTCTCTCTCTCTCAGGAATGTGCATCTAAGTTTCCTCTGTGTCTTTTCATGGTTTGGTAGCTCATTTCTTTTTAGTGTTAAATAATGATTCCATTGTCTGGATGTGCCACAGTTTATTTATCTGTTCACCCACTGAAGGACATCTTGATGCTTCCAAGCTCTGGCAAATATGATTAAAGCTGCTATAAATACCCATGTGCAGATTTTTGTGTAGACAGAAGATTTCAGTTTCTTTGGGTAAATACCAAGGAGCACGATTGCTGAATTGTATGGGAAGAATATATTTAGTTTTGTAAGATACTGTGAAACTGTCTTCCATAGTGTCTGTGCCGTTTTCATTCCCACCAACAATGAGTGAGCGTTCCTCTTGCTCCATGTTCTCACGAGCATTTGGTGGTGTCAGTGTTCTGGATTTTGGCCATTCTGATAGATGTGGAGTGCTATCTCACTGTCGTTTTAATTTGCATTTCCCTGATGACATCTGATGTAGAGTACCTTTTCATAGGCTTAGGCTCCCTAACCCTCTGTATCTATCTCCTTTGGTGAGGTGTCTGTTAAGGACTTTGGCCCATTTTTAAGTCAGGTTTTGCTTTCTTATTGTTGAGTTTTAAGAGTTCGTTGTATATTTGGACAACAGTCCTCTATCAGATGTGTCTTTTACAAGTATTTTCTTCCAGTCTGTGGCTTGTCTTCTAATTCTCTCGATATTATCTTTTTCTGAGCAGAAGTTTTTAATTTTAATAAAGTCCAGCTTATTAGTTATTTCTTTCATAGATTGTAACTTTGGTGTTGGGTCTGAAACAGCATTACCATACCCAAGGTCATTTGGGTTTACTGCAAAGTAATTCAAAGTGTTCAGGGATGTCAAAAGTAAAAGTTGTTATTTAAAAAAATAAAAAGTGATCCCCACCCAGGGAAGCCTTCTGTCCTAGGCTAAGAGGGAAGATGGAAGGGGCGGTGAGGTCAGGGGATGCCTTGGTTAGGGCTGGGGACCGGGGTCTGCTTGAAGGCAGCAGTGTCTAGGAGAATGGGACCTGCAGAGCAGGGCCAGCGCCAGGAGAGGGAAATGGGCAGGTGGGGTGTGGAAGGAGAATTAAGCTGCCGAGAAGAAAAGTTAATTTTGATTTCTATGTTAAGGTCCACTTCCTAAGAACAGCAGTGTTTTCAGGGACTTAACTTAAGGAGATATTTCATAAGCGGGTGCAGCCGAATGTTTTGGTTAAAGTATAATCCAAGAAAAAGGGACATCTGTAATATTTTAAACAAAAATAAAATAAAAAAAAAAGTACAATCCAGTATTTATTTATTTGTCAGGGTTGCTTATAACCTGCTTCCAGCTCAGACAAGTTGTTTTGACCCCGATGCCCTGGCTCACTCAGGCCACTTAACACTGTTTAACTGTCAGGAGAGCAATGTGCATGATCCAATGATCGAGTTTTTGTAAGGTCTGTGAATAGAATACACTATGAGTAAGCTCCATATTGCATCACCGCAGTCACTGTATGTCGGGCCTCTGCTGCTTTCTTCTGTGCCCTTTCGCTGAAGGAGAAAGTTTCTTGATCCAAATCAACATAGAGTCTTTGCGGAAGGGAGGAACTTAGAGCTATTGAGAGCCTTAAATTAGCATAGGTTCTTTAATTTGGGCACCTGGCTGGCACTGGGCATGCAGCGACACCTTAAGGCAAGTGGCCTGGACCCTGCTATGTGTTAGAATTTTAAAAAATCCTAACGACAGGCTGCACCCCAGACCAGCTGCATCGGGTGGGGTCCAGGCAGTGTTATTTATTACAACTCCACCCGAGATTCCAGTGCGGGTCCAAGGTTGAGAAGTTGTCCCTTAAAGCAAGATGCAGGTTGGTCCTGGCCTGTCTCCAGCCTTCTTAGCAGCGGGCAGGGCGTAGCTTCGGCTGCTTAGTCATAGCTGCGGCTGCTTAGTCATAGCTCGGCTGCTTAGTCATAGGAACACGGAGAGGCAAGGAGACCTAAATGTTATAAATGTAGTTACGATGTTCTCAGAGTTTCTGGGAGTCTGGAGTGCTGGGAACATTTGTTCAAATGTCACTATATACACTTTTCAAATTCTCCTAGAATGCATAGTCAAAATGTGATACAGAAAATTTTAACATGTTGGAAATAACTAATGAGTGGTCTTCTCAATGACTTTTAATATAGAAATGATTGCTGTCAACTAGAATGTATCGAGTAAATTAATGTACCCCTTTGATCTGTCGATTTGTTCCCCCTGACACACACTTCTTCAGTGTCCCCGCTTCTGCTGAAGCTGAGATGGGGTTCTGTGGAAGGTTTTGTTTGGAAGAAGAGGTCCTTTGAAAATAAGAGTTGATAAGCCACAAGCCTGTCCTTGTAGGATCTGCTTGAAAGTCAGTCATTTTGCATATTGGCTCGGCGCCCTTGAGCACAGACAGCCAGGTTGCAAGAAGGTTGCTTTTACTCGTTTTCATCTGAATTTGTGCCAAGGATTCAACTTTTCCTGCTCATTTTATGAAAAACCTGATAAACAGCATAATACGTAGTTAAAATGCCACATAAATGACAAATAGAGGGACTAAATGACATCCCCAAGGGTCAACTGCTGAATAAGTAACAGAGCCACGTCCTTGCATGGTCAGATCCCCCTATATGCCAGTTAGGGACAGTGCTTTCCCGTGGAGTGTTTTAATTAGTATTTATAAATCGCACGGCGCCTCCGAAAGCACCAGGAAGCTGTTTATATTCCTGTCATGCCACACAAATAGCAAATGCTTTGAAGACCGCTGCCTACTGTGCATCTTGGTCTGAGCAGTCAGTGAGCCTGTCGCGTGCGTGTCTCCCGTAGGTGCAGTGACGGCACAGCGTCAGGTCTCCGTCCAGGAGGGACCCCTGTACCGCACGGAGGGCTCCCACATCACCATCTGGTGCAACGTGAGCGGCTACCAGACGCCGTCCGAGCAGAATTTCCAGTGGTCCATTTACCTGCCCTCCGCCCCAGAGCGCGAGGTCCAGATCGTCAGCACCGTGGACTCTTCCTTCCCGTACGCCATCTACACCCAGCGCGTCCGCAGCGGCAAGATCTACGTGGAGAGAATCCAGGAGAACTCTACCCTGCTGCACATCACCGATCTGCAGGCCCGGGATGCCGGGGAGTACGAGTGCTACACGCCCAACACCGACACGCGGTACTTTGGAAGCTACAGTGCCAAGATGAACCTCGTGGGTAAGGAGAGAACTGTTTTCCTGTGGCCAGTATGCTGCCTGAGTGTCTTGGCCAGTTTGGGCTTCCATAACGAAGTGTCACAGTCTGAGCAGCTTAAACAACAGGCGTCTATTGCTCCTGGCTCTGAGAGCAGGGTGCCAGCCCGGTCAGTTCTGGTGGGAACCCTCTTCCAGGGTGCGGACTGCTGACGTCTCATTGTATCCTCACGGGGTGGAAAGGGAATGAGGGAGGTCCCTGAGGTCCCCTAATCCCAATTATGGGGGCTCCACCCTCATGACTTAATCACCTCCCATAGGCCTCCTCTCCAGATACCATTACACTGGGGATTACATTTCAACATGAGAATTTGGGGGGGATATACACAAACATTCAGTCCATAACACTTAGTTACTTCTTTTAGAGTAGAATTTTAACTTAAAATAAGATCTCTCCAGATGTTTTAGAGGTCACCCAGTAACGTAAATGAATACAGTTTGTGTTCCTTTGTAAGGCTGAAACTTAACAAAGATCTAAAGTGGATGTTAAGTATTTCAGGGAAGGTTAACTGGCCCTCTTGCTGGTGAAAGGGGATGTGAAAATATAAGGCAAGGATGTTTGTGGTTGATGATCTGAAGAGGTGACGAGGGACAATGAAGCGTATGACATCAGCTGGCCGAGAGGTGAAACCTCGGAAATGGGCCCTCGGACAGGCTCTGGCATGCTGGGCGCTGCAGACTCAGGCAGTGAATGCACCTGCAGGTCCTTGCCCAGCCCTGACGGCCGTAGGTCCAGGCCCCGTGAGCGAGGCGTGTGCACCAGCTGGCCCCCTGAGCCCTGAACTATGGAGGGGTCTCTCAGTGAGGGGCCAACACTATCGAGGCTCTTCTGGTTTTCTGCCCAAGTCATAATTTCCAGGCTTAATTGTGATAATAAAAACTGGAATTGTGGATCCTTCCCATGGTAAACACTGCCATCTGCCCACTCCCTTCACCTGCAGCTTCCTTTGGTGACTTTTTCTTTCTGACAAGTCTGCACCCCAACAGGAGGCCTGGAACCCAACCGTGAGAAAACAAACACTACCTGTGACTGGGGGTGTCCTCATCAGTCAGAGGGTAGTGCCGTTTAGTCCCCAGGGTAAACTCTGACCAAGGGACCACAGGGGAATCTTCACTGGCTTGCGTCATCCCCGCACTGTGGCTTCCTGCCATTGTTGACCACTTGGCACATGAATTATATGAAAATTGAACCTATTAAAAAAATCAAAGATGATGATTCACCAATTTTTTTTTTTTTTTAATAGCCTTCCTAGAGCAGTGCATTGCTGACATCCGTTGTGGGGATATGGGGTGGTGGCTGGAAGGGAGGAAGCAAGGAAGTAAAGCTCCCCAAGTCCCAGGAAATTTCCATTTGAAGATCAGTCAGAAGCCAGTTTCATGTATCTTGAAGCAATACCAGAATGAACAAAAAATTAATTTCACCTAAAAGAAAGTGCTTTTACACAGTATTTTCAGGGAGTTCATTTATTATGTAAAATAAAACACAACCCACCTTTTATCTGAGTCTTATGAAAATAACCAAGCAGGTGAGAGTAATTGCCAAAAACTTGCAGCCCAAACCCAAATAGAAAACTCCTCTTTCTGTGCCCTCTGGGTTCCCCGTGGCCTCGCAGCGATGGTTGAAGGCTGTGTGGCTGGGAGCTTTTTGTTGTTACTTGTCGTTGAGTCAACTCTGACCCCTGGGGACGCTGTGAATGAATGGCGTCCACAATGTCCTGTCCTCGACAGCCCTGCTCAGTTCCCGTAGGCTCCTGCCTAGGGCTTCTTTCACGGAGTCAACCCATCTCATAGTCAGCCTTCCTCCTTTCCTGCTGACTTCCATTTTCCCCAGCATCGTTGTCTTTTGCAAAAGCCCCTGCTTTCTCATGATGCGCCTGACGCAGGACAGCTTCAGTGTTGTCCCCGTGCCTACGATTCTGCGGCTTTATTGTCACCGTGCGCTCGGGCCCTCCCTGTGTTACAGTGATCCCAGACTCCCTGCAGACCACAGCCGTGCCCCAGACCCTGCACAAGGTGGAGCAGGACCCCCTGGAGCTCACGTGCGAGGTGGCCACGGAGACGATCCAGCACAGCCACCTGTCCGTGGCCTGGCTCCGGCGGAGAGGCAGCGAGAAGCCCGTGGAGGTCATCGCCCTGAGCCGAGACTTCATGCTGCGCTCCAGCAGCGAGTACGCGCAGCGGCAGAGCCTGGGCGAGGTGCGGCTGGACAAGCTGGGGGCCAGCACCTTCCGCCTCACCCTCTTCCACCTGCAGCCCGCCGACCAGGGCGAGTTCTTCTGCGAGGCCGCCGAGTGGATCCAGGACCCCGACGGCTCGTGGTACGCCATGACCAGGAAGCGCTCCGAGGGCACCGTGGTCACTGTCCAGCCCACAGGTCAGCCTCTCCTGTCCCTGTCCCCCACCTGGGCGGGGAGGGTGCGCAGGTGCTTCTCTAGTGACCCCTGAAATACGCAAGGTTTTCACGGGAAGTTAGAGATGGTCCTGCCTGAGGGACGGATGGGGCCCAGGGACCCTGAGACCCACGTCAAGTGAGTCTCAGAGAGGAGCTGCGCAGACTGGATCCTGCTGGCAGACGTGGGTTCTTTAACCTACGTGGATGGAGTCTTACATTTTCTTGAAGTACAAATTCGTTTAAAAATCAGGAGATGTCACGGAAAGCACTTGTATCTTATGACTGGGTTCCCATTAGCCACATGCCTGCCCCCTTTGATGACGTTACCTGCTTCAGGTACCAATCTTGTTTCCTTTGTAGAAGACATTTGAGATTAGGAGCCTTCTATCATCGGTATGAAATCCTGAGCTAGAGAAATTTTGGCATCAGTGGTTATTTTTTATATTATTTCTTTGTTGGTGTCTGATGATTTCCAAAATGCTTTAGTAGGTGGCGGAGAAGATGCCTTGTGAGGTGGCTTGGTGGCGGGGCCCCAAGAGGAGCCACAGGGTGTGTTGTCAAGACCAACCCCAACAGCACTGGGTTCCACCGTAAACGTTTTCTCAAGGGAGAGACCTAGAAAGGGGGTTGCCTGAGGAGGTCAAGTGATGTGTTCAGAGCTGGATCAAGGTGATGGCAGCATCGTGAGCTGAGATCCTCCTGCTCCTCGTATTTTCCCCCCACAGTGTCACGCTGTGGTCCCCAGGCCCCGCATCCAGCCCTGCCCCAGGTCAGAGCTGGGAGCTGTTGCTTTCTGCCTCCGCTGGGCTGGGGGCCGGCTCTCCATGGGCCGTGGGTCCCCTCGCTTTGGTTGAGGGTGGTCGTTGAGTCATTAATGGGGTGTAGGGAGTGGCCCAGGAGCCTTTCCTTGTGTCCTGCTGACCTCTGGTGAGAGGCTACAGCTGTCCTGGTGAGTAGAGGTGTGGTCTGTGGGAGCCCGAGGTGCAGGTGGGACCCCCCCGGCAGCACCTGTTTCCTGACCTCCCAGTCCCACTTGCTGCGGCCGGTGGTCTCGGTCTATTCATCGTTCTGTGATTCTAGAGCAGCGCTTGTGGCTTACCTGGCAGTGCAGGTTCCTGAGTCAGGCTCCTGGGGTGGACCCCGAAGCTGGGTTTCCAGCATCCTACCCAGGTGGTTTTTCCACGGTCTGTGTTTTGTCAAGCATAGCTGTAGAGGCAATAGGGCAGAAGTGATTCTCGGGACATCAAATGGATGTGAGGGCTTCTAAGAGAAGGGTTGGGCTTCTGAATGTGCAGCACCTTGTCTGCCCCGTAGGGCCCAGAGCACTAAGCAGCTTCTGGATCTTCCAGGACTAAGAAGTCTACAGAAAGCACCTTGTTTCATATTTATCTTTTCCCTTCTTGGATGGTTTGAATATCAGCTTCAAAAGTCTCGACCAAATTTGGAGTCTTAATGCTTTTAAATTAGGTTGCATCAGCTAATCTACTTTACTTTAATCTTACCAATTTGGAATTAGGAGTTTTCAAATTTGCCCAGCAAATGGATCCAGACTAAGCCAGCCTGGGGAAAACTCGATGAAATAAAAGCTGATGACTTCACTCTGGGCGCCTGTGCTGTTCAGGCTCGGTGGTTGCAGCCCCAGCTCGGCCTTCTCATAGTTCTTTTGAGTAAACACTAGGTCCCTGCAGCACTGAAGGTGTGGTGGTAGTGTTGGGGAGTCAGGATGATTTACACTCGGTCCCTGCACTCGGGGTGCTTGCAGATGGCAGAGTCGGTGGCCAGGAGGAGTGTGCTAAGTGCTACAATCGTGTTGTGTGCAGGGCGCTCTGGGGACGCGGTGGATGTGCAGTGTTCTTACAGCAGTAAGTTTCCCTGGATGGGGTAGGTGTTAAGGCACATCCAGGAAAACCAACAAGCCTGGTGACTTGAGCTGAGTCTTGAAGTTTGACAAGAGAGCAGGGAGAAAAGCATATGATTGTTTGACATGCTGGGCAGGCGGAGAGAAGCTGAGTATCAGGAAATGTTGAGTTCCAGGTACGAGTGGTGAGAGGAGAAGGGAAAGGGAGCCTGAAGCCCCACATGCTGTAACGTGGACCCTTGGCCTTGACCTGTGGACCAAGTATCTTCCAGCTGTTCTTCTTAGAGACCCCTTAGAGGTGCCTGCGAGGTGGCCTGTGGGTGTTCGTGTGCATGTGTGCAGGCCAGGGGTTCTGGAGGAAGGCATGTGATCCCTGATCAATCCCCCCTGATTCAACCAAACGTGTTCTATATTGGGAGCAAAAGATTTTGTATGAAAAAAGGAGGTCCCGACCCAAGAAGGATGGCCTCTGCGGTGCGGGAGTGACTCAGCACAGGGGTCCTGGTGGCTGTCCTCTCAGCTGTCTCCCCAGAGCCTCCATCGTGTGTTTTTTTCCCCTCAGACAAAGAGTTCACCGTCCGGCTGGAAACGGAGAAGCGCCTGTACACCATGGGGGAGCCGGTGGAGTTCCGATGCATCCTGGAGGCTCAGAACATTCCCGACCGTTACTTCGCCGTCTCCTGGGCCTTCAACAGCTCGCTCATCGCCAGCATGGGGCCCAACGCTGTGCCTGTCCTCAACAGCGAATTCGCCCACCGGGAAGCCAGGGGACAGCTGAAAGTGGCCAAGGAGAACGATGGTGTCTTTGTGCTAAAGATCTACCACCTCCGCCAGGAAGACAGCGGGAAGTACAACTGCCGTGTGACAGAGAGAGAGAAAACGGTCACCGGGGAATTCATCGACAAGGAGAGCAAGCGTCCCAAAAATATCCCCATCATAGTCCTCCCCATCAGTAAGTGGAGAGACACACTGCTCCCTGGTCCTTCCCTGCTGGTCGGGTCCAACAGCTGGCATCACTGAGAGAGGTCGGGAGAGAGAAGACTGTGCTGGGGGGCGGGGGGAGGGCAGGGGGAACTCGAGGTTCAAGCTGGCGGAGAAGCCCGGTTAACCGCTCCCCTTCCCCGGCTCACCTGCCCGCATTGGCAGCCCCCCAGGTAGGCGCAGCATCAGGGCTGTTTGCACCTGGAGGGAGCATCGCAGACCCCAGCCCTAGCAGCCCTGAGTAAAGCCCGCAGTGCCAGCTCAGCCGGGAGGGAAACCAGGAATTCAGGACAGCTGTTTGCTCCTTTGTGGGAATTCAGCCCCAGGAGAAGTGGGGAGATGCCTATCTTGACACCTTCCCCAAGAGGGTGGGTCTTTTACAGGAGGATTTTAATTCAAAGCTCATTTTTAAGGATTTGCCATCCAGGCTTTGCGGGTGGAAGGATTGGCATTTCCCTCACTTTCTCTTCCCTGTTGGAGTTGTGGTTTTAAAAGTCAGTGGCTGGGATCTCTCACATCTTCCTGGAGCACAGACTTTTAAAGCTGATTCCCAAGACTCCTTAGGTGGGCTCCCTGCCCCCATGGAGGCCGGCGATGTCCGGGTGGGTCACGGTCATGGCTGGGGACTCGGGGGACTCTGTCTGCCTGTGATTAGTCACCCAGGATGTTCTCATTAATATCTCGTTTCTCTCCTAGCTCTAGTTCTATTAAAAAGAGAATTAAAAAAACTTATACTGCTCTGATTTTAAACAAATGGTGAAGTTTTTAAACTAACCATTAACCTTTTCTCAGCTGTTCAAACTGTTCTTTCTCTCACCCTTGCCATGACTTTCTTTGAAATTTTATTTCTACTTTTACATTTTTAATATAGTTCTCTTCAAGTATGAAGGGAAAAACCCACAGGGGTCTTGCCAACTCTTTTTCTCTTTTCTCACCAACAGGATTACTTTCTTTTCTTACTTATTATTTTTTTAAATCACACACACACACCCCTAATTATCTTGAAAGTCTTTTGTTACTAGACTTTTCCCCCCTGCAATGCCTAGCATGGTGCTTTGCATAGGGTAGGTGCTTGCTGAATATCCGTAGAATTGAAACTGTGGAGTTGAATGCCCACTCTCTGTACTCCTTTCCTGTCGGTCAGTGCTTGCCTTAACCACGGACTCTCTGCTTTTAAATCTGCAACTAATTCCTCGATGTTTTGTGAGGATCCAGCGAAGGGCAGCCACACTGTTTACTGCCTATATCTTTTGTGCTAAGAGATTGCCCCCAACCCCTTCCAAGAACTTGTTTGATGATCTGTGGCCTGCTATATTGCTTTTCCAGCAGATGACTGGGTAGTTAAAGTCCCCCAGAACCACCAGATCCTGTCCCAAGGCCACTTGGGTAAGTCTACCAAAGAGCGATCACATCGGTAATGATGATAATACCTTGGATTCTAATGGCGCTTTTCCTCCCAAGAGCCCAAAGTGCTTCTGCATCTATCATCTCCTTCTCCGCCTCCACCCTTCAAATCCCTGTAGAGGCCAATGTTGTCTCCATCCGATGAAGGAAGAAGCCAGAGCACCACCCAGAGACGTGGCTGAGCCTGTTCCGTTAGAGGCTGAGCGTGGGTCGCGTTAGGGAAATTTGCTTCTAACTCCACATTCCCTGCTCTGTGCTTAGCCTGCGCTGTGCCATCAACCTCCTGATTTGAAATTTCATTTGTGACCGTGCGCTCAGATTCTCATTAGTTCTGACCCAGTTTGCACTTAATCCAGAGTGTTTTAGATTGTCAGCTGCCTTTTCTCAGGCCCAGAAACACCTGTCAGTAGTCTAACCGGGCAATGCCTGTATTTGCCTTTGCCTGGGCTGCTGGGATGATTTGTTTTCTCCCAGTCCCACATTCGAATTGTGAAGTTTTGCAGACTTGCCAGAGCAACAGAGCACTAAAGAGCAGCCTTGACGATACACAAGCCGGGGCTTACACAAGGTCCATTGGGGTGACAGTAGGGGACAGGAGTGACACCCTGCAGGATGTTCTTCTGATTAAGGCCAGCAAAAGGATTTTTTCCCCCCTTGATGTTGAAGTTGTCCTTGTTTGGAATTGACAACACTGGGGATGAATCTTTAATCTAAAGAAGAATATCATTACTATTACTGATGAGATGAAAAACACTGACCCCATCTAATCCTCTCAGTGTCGTGACCCTGAGAAGTGGGAACTATTAGTACCGCTGTTTTGCACGTGAGATTTTGAAGCTTGGGTAGGGTTAGGTAAGAACCCAAGATTATGGAATCAGAGCTCAGGCTGCCTGCCACCAAATCCTCGTTTTTAGTTGCTAGCGCTGTGGATGCCAGCTCATCGGGAGCCTTACCATCTCCGTGAATCCTCTTGGTGCGGCCCCTGGGAAGGGTCCCCTCCTGGGAACATTCCTATTCCCCACCTTGTTCAGACCTGTTTGTTTTTTGGTTTGTTTTGTCTTGTTTTCACATAAAACGATCCAGTCCACACTGAGGAGCAGAAATACCATAACCAGAGTACACGCAGGGGCTCTGTGCTCACCTTTGCCTGTTTCTGTCTGTGTGGAAATACAGGGGACAAAAGTTTGATTCAAATGCATGGTCCTGGGTATGGGTGTGTTTCCCCTCTGTAATTGGCTGTGCCTCTTAATCTGGGACTTGATTTTATTGATTGATTTTAAATTGCTGTATCTGTTTCATGTGGGCGGTGCCCAGAAAATTGGAGCCAAATCAGTTACGGTATTTTGTATTCTTTTATTATTATTATATTTTTTTAACTCAATATAGATAACTATACAAAAACAATATGCTCATGATTAAGCTAGATTAGAATATCCATGATGTTTACAAAAACAAAGAGATATTGGGAATTGTAAAATCAGTCATGATCATGGTGACCAGTTTTTGAAAACTTAATATGTTCTAGGTGATTTATATGCATTGTTTCATTTACTTTTTAACCTTTAAAAAACTGCGTGAGATAAGTGACACTCTCTGTCTTATGGAAGAAGGCATGTAGAGCTTAAATAATTTGATTGAGTGAGTTCAGAGAGCTAAGTGAGTAGCAGAGGGAAGGGAGTGGAATCCTTACCCCAGGCTTTGGCTGGCAGGGTGTTTCAAGGCCAGGAGCGGTGGACCCCAGGGCTGAGCGTAGATAGGCAGGGTGGCCGGCCTGTGGCGTAGGTCTCTTCCTCAGTGTCAATGCCAAGTGCGAAAGCCCGCTCCCCACACTGTGAAATTGACTGCCTGTGCCCATCGTTACCCACATCCAGGCACGTGTTATCTTCCAAACACTTCCTGTCATTTTCTTTTTAAATACATCTTTATTAATTTCAGAGAGAGGAAAGGAGAGGGAGAAAGAGAGATAGAAACATCAGTGATGAGAGAGTCATTGATTGAGCCCACAACCGGGCATGTGCCCTGACCGGGAATCGAACCCCAATCGCCTGGATCCTAGGTCGACGCTCAACCGCTGAGCCACGCCCCGCTGGGCTATTTTTTTTTTTTACTCCTGGTACTGTCCTGCAGGACTCAAATGGCACGGATGGATGGCGGCTCCTATTTGGCTGCTGTAGCACCGAATGGTGGGAGTGGAATTTTCAAGTAATTCTACTTAATAAAAGTCCAAATTGAAAATCCTTGAACCCCAGCTGAACAAATAGCCTGATAAATTGTATTATGCCCTACGCATAATGGCATTGGTTGTATTTCTTAGGTTCTGGCACCGTCCCAGGTCTTGGACCCTCATTACCCTGGTCCTCTGCACATGGCACAGGGCCTCCTAGGTTACCAGACCCAGAGTCCCGGGAGCAGTACCCATAACCAGCCAGGGCCACCCCAGCAGCATCAGGGCTTTCACCCTTCAAGGTTCACTGCACCTACAGAGGGTGACCCTGGCACCCACCCGCCTTTCACATCTGCCGGGGAGGGCACAGTCGAGACCCAGAAGCCCCAGCTGCCACTCTCTCCCTGTCCCCAGAGAGCAGCATCTCCGTGGAGGTGGCCAGCAATGCCAGCGTCGTCCTCGAGGGCGAGAACCTGCGCTTCTCCTGCAGCATCCGCGCAGCGGGCAGGCCGCAGGCCCGCTTCTCTGTCATCTGGCAGCTCGTGGACAGGCTGAACCGTCGCAGCAACATCATGTGGCTGGACCGGGATGGCACCGTGCAGCCCGGCGCGTCCTACTGGGAGCGCAGCAGCTTCGGGGGCGTGCAGATGGAGCAGGTGCAGCCCAACGCCTTTAGCCTGGGCATCTTCAACAGCAGGAAGGAGGACGAGGGCCAGTACGAGTGCCACGTGACCGAGTGGGTGCGCGCCGTGGACGGCGAGTGGCAGGTCGTGGGAGAGCGCCGGGCCAGCACCCCCATCTCCATCACAGCTCTCGGTGAGTAAACGTCTGGAAGTCTTCCAGCGGGACTGCTGGGGAGACCACTCCCAGGTCAGTCAGGGTCCTGCCAGGAAACCGAGGGCATCTTCAAAGGGTTTTTGTTTTTTTTTTAAAAAAATATGTCTTTATTGATTTTAGAGGAAGGGAGAGGGAGAGAGAGAAACATCAATGATGAGAGAATCATTGATCGGCTGCCTCCTGCACGCCCCTGACGGGGATCGAGCCCTACCAGGAATCAAACTGTGACCTCCAGGTTTATAGGTCGACCTTCAACCACCGAACCTCGCCAGCCGGATACCTTCAAAGAGTTTAATGGAAGGAACACGCTACAGAAACTTGGGCAGGGTTGAAGGGACCAGCAATGTGTGGCAGGGCCCCTGGGGGCCGGTGACAGCCGGGAGCTGTTACCACTCGTGGGTCTGGGTGGTGGGAGTGAAGTTGTAGGAATTCTGGCTGGAGGAGTAGGTCTTCTGTTTATCAGGAGCCTTTGGCATCACTTGTCCTTGTGATTTTGTGGCCCACTCCCTGAGACCGTGTGGCCCCCCATCCCCACGGTCAGGGCTGCTGTGCTCCTGACTACACCGCAGTAAAGACAGCAGCCCCGAGTGGTTTCCCCCCCCAGAGTCCTGCATTTTCACGCCACCCCTAGATTACAATGCCACTTACTTTCTAAAGCTAAATCCCAAAGGCTGACCTGCTTTCTGCAGTACTCACACAGCTCAGATTTCCGTTGCTAGAAACTTCATCCAGCGGTTGAATTTCCTGGTGAGCTCAGTCCCCGTGCCTACACTCAGCACCCGTGTGCACCTGTGGAAATGGGACCTGTGAGGAAAGCTCCAGGCATCCAGCAGTGGTAGTTTTCCCGTCCTGTGAGGTTAGGAATATCTGAGGACTGGTTAGAGTTAGGATCATTTTTCTAGAAGTAATTTTACGGCTTCAGGTTATCCCCTGAGTTTTTTCATACTCAGCCTATGTCTGATGTTTCCACAGCCAGGGGTGACCAAGGGGCTCTGACCTGGGGCCCCAGGGGCCTGACTCTGCTCACCTGGTCTCCACCCTTGGAGCGCTCCTGACTAAAGCCAGAGTCATAGTGGAACATCGGAAAACAGAAGCTCACTCTGGAGTAAGGTCACCTGTTCAGCCTAAAGTAAACAATGACACACGAATTTTTGTATCAGTACGATTGAGATGTGGACCCCCCTTCAGCAGGGAGGTGACAGTGACAGGTGCCCAGGTGAGGCATTAGGTGGGTACAGTCTCCAGCTGCACCTGGGATGTTATGACTGTTCAGTGAGGACAGCTTGGGTGCTCTGTGAGCTGTGCCTGTGCCAGGCCAGGACAGAGCCTCTTGCTCAGAGAAGCTCTTTGCCCCTCAGGTGTTGAGGCCAGGGTCCTGCCCCTGAGGTCCTGTCCCCCACCATCCTCATGGCAGCACTGTCTGCACACAGGTGCACAAGTGACCATCACAGCCATTTCGTGCTTAAGGACAGGCCTGTGTATCTTACCTTTTTAAAAAATAGGAAACATAAAGATAGCTTATGAAATCCAAACTGGAGACCCAGAGTCTTTAGCAAATCATGCCTGCCTATTTGCTGACTTAACCTCCTCACATAAAGCCAAAGGATTCCTTCTGTCCCGAGTCTTTTACCTCCGGAATCTAAAGTACTTCCCATTGTGGTTCTTTGTTTCTTTAACAAAATACATTTTTAAAAAATATATTTTTTATACTGTATGTCAGGTACTAATGAACTCCTTTACTCTTTGCATGGACCCATTTTACAGATAGGGCAATAGAGGCAGAGAGAAGTTAAGTAACTTGTTCAATGTCACACAGCTAGAAAGTGTCAGAATTGGGCAGCTGGGTCCACTGCCTTTAACCACTGCCTCATATTCCCATGGGTCAAGCAACCTGATGAGGACTCTGGAATCAGGAGGTCTGCAGCCTGATTCTGCCATTGATGGGCATCCAAACAGGCCCGCAGGCCTTTGCTCTGCTCCACTAGCTTTTGCCAGGACCCCCATCACCATGTCACACCCCATGGGAGAGCCAAGTGACTCCTCTGGCTCGAGCCTGTCTACTCTCTCTCCAGAAACGGGCTTCGCGGTCACAGCCATCTCCCGCACGCCGGGGGTGACCTACAGTGACTCCTTTGACCTGCAGTGCATCATCAAACCCCACTACCCGGCCCGGGTTCCCGTGTCGGTGACCTGGCGGTTCCAGCCGGTCGGCACCGTCGAGTTCCATGACCTGGTCACCTTCACCCGGGACGGAGGGGTCCAGTGGGGGGACAGGTCCTCCAGCTTCCGCACCCGAACGGCCATCGAGAAGGCCGAGTCCAGCAACAACGTCCGCCTGAGCGTCAGCAGAGCCAGCGACACAGAGGCGGGCAAGTACCAGTGCGTGGCGGAGCTGTGGCGACAGAACTACAACAACTCCTGGACGCGGCTGGCCGAGAGGACCTCCAACCTGCTGGAGATCAGGGTGCTTCAGCCAGGTAAGGGGCTCCGCCCATGCTTGAGCTGGGTGGCGAGACACGGAAAAGGGGACAAAGCGTGAGCACTGAGCCCTCGGTGTGGCCACTGTGACTTCCAATGCTTGATGTTGAGAAATTTCAAATCGGTGGGAAGTTGACAGAATTATATTTCCTTTTCTTGGTGGCCAGTTGTCAGTGTCTTACGGCATTTGTTTTCTCCCTCTGTGGGTATTTTGTTGTTGTTTTTGAACATTTGAGGAGAAGTTGATGACATCAGGACGCTTCCTCCTACACACTTGGGCGTGTATCTCCTAAGAACAAAGACACTCATGGTTGTAGGACGTTACTAACATGTTCCCAGTTCCAAACCAGATCCAGTCAGGGATCGCACATCGTTTTCAGTTGTCACGTCTCTTTAGATTCCTTTCATCTAGAGCTGTTGCCCGGCCGCTCGTGCTCATGTGTGTTAAGACACTGGCATTTGTGAAAGTGTACAGGATGAATGTTTTGTAAGAAGCTGTCTCTTAATGTCATCTCCTGTAGTCCTTGCAGCAATGATGTGAACAAGGTACTGTAGTCTCCCGTCTGCAGACCAGGAGCCTCGGGGTGGGGAGGGAAGAGGGAACTTACTGGGTCCCTTACTGAGGATCTGCTTTGCACTAGGTGCGTAGGGTGGTGATTTTATGAGAATTTCACAGCCACCCCAGGAAAGATTCACCAGCACAGGGTGATGTAGCTGGTGAGGGATGGAGCTGGGATTTGAACCCTTGCCTGCCTTTCTCATGCTGGTCTCCTGACCCCAGGCCCTGTCCTCATGTGCTGAGTTTGAGCTTCATTCTCCCATGGGGCTGAGTCTCTTACAGCAGGTGGGGGGGTGCACTAATTTGGGGAACCTAGTCAGGGGTGGTTTCTGCAAATACTCTCGCCTTCATCAGGCACTTCCCCTAACGCAGGGGAGAGGTTAAGTATGTGCCACTCCCATGGTTTCCTCGGTGTCTGGTGTACTGCTAGGCTGGAAGCTGGACAGGTGGAGCCCAGGCCGTGGTCTGCTTCCCTCTGTGCCTGGCCTCTGAACAGGAGAGCCGAGGCACCCACCATGCATCGCCCTGTGCCAGTGGATGGGAAGTGACTTTGCAAAGACTTTTATCTGCCTTTCTGACCCACCCACTTTGGAAAGATGGTTTGAACGTCTTACAGAAAGGATTTTCCTCTCTGCTCACAGCCATGGTCAGTGTCCCACCCGGTCTGCTGGACCACTTCATATGGCCCCAGTGTTGTTTTCAGCAATGCGAGGCTACAGAAGGGTATTGTCTGAGTTTACCCTTCACCCCTTCTAACCCCATAGAGTCCTGTTCTGTCCCAGAGTTTGGAACAAACGAGTCGTATAAATAAAGGGACCATTCCTCTGACAGTTAGGGCAGAGGCTGTTCTGCTTAAGTGGGTTTTCAGGTTAATGGAGGGTTAAGCAGAGAGACCCCATTTCCGGCGAGCCGTTGTTGTGTGAAGTGCCCAGGGACGCACTTTTCTGCCTCCCTGAGTAGAACTTGGAGATTGTAATTGCCCCTCGTGTGGCCTCCTCTGGCCCTCAGGGTCGGGCGCTGTGAGAGGAGGCGCCTCCCACGTGGCTCTGCAGCCCTGGAAGGCAGAGGGAGCACTGACCCCGGGACCTTGCCTGATGTTGCCGTTTTGTGTAAATCCCTAATATTTGCTTGTTTCTGTTGCTCCTCAGAATCTGAGACTGTAGCTCATAAGGAAAGAATAAGGAATTAATTTATTGAAGGTTCAAGTTATTTCGATTCTGAGCAACTGACGTTGTTATAAAGGAGGGAGGGGACAAAAATGGGTGCCAGGCTGTGTGCTTTGTGCTTCTGTTTTCTTTTCTAGTTCATCCACCAGTGAAATCATGGAGAGGTTTGTATCCCCATTTCAGTTGCCCCGGAGAAAAGCAAGGCCCCCAGGTGTTAAGGAGCCTCAGTGGAGGCAAGCCAGCTTGGCAGGTGGGGACCTGGCATTGGAACTGAGATTGGAGCCCAGGTCTCTCTGACGCCCATATATCGCCATTTTCTTTTCTTTTCTAAAAAATGTTTTTATTGATTTCAGAGAGAGGAAGGGAGAGAGAGAGAGAGAGAAACATCAATGATGAGATTCATCCATCGGCTGCCTCCTGCACGCCCCCTGCTGGGGATCAAACCCGCAACCCGGGCATGTGCCCTGACTGGGGAATCGAACTGCGATCTCCTGGATCCTAGGTTGACGCTCAACCTCTGAGCCATGCTGGCCGGGCCTGTCTCCATTCCCATTGTACCATAGTGTTGCCTCGTAGGTAGTAGAAGTAGTGGAGAGTGAGGATCTGCTCTGAGGACTGTCTTTTTTGTCTGGTGTGGCTTATGCTGAGTCGGATTGTTTGTGTTCTCACTGTAGAGAAAGACTGTGCAGTCCCATCGTGCTGGGCTGTTTGTTGTGAGGCCTGTGCCCTGAGGTGCCCAGTAATGCATTTTCAGGGCCCTCCGGAGACTGCCAAGAGCGGGGTCAGTGCCCAGGCTGCACGCGCCCAGGGAGTGGCTAAGGCACCGGGAGAGTGCATCCCTTAAGTGTTCCTGTCTCTCCCTTATTAAATATGAATGCATTTAGCACTTAATATGTTCCAAAGAGCTTCGTGTTTGTTTTTGCTTTTCCCCACACACTCTGGTTGGTGCTGGAGCTTTTATTTGGGGGACGCAGAAGTGGAAAAGTACGAGAGGGCTGACTGTGCCTGCAACCGTGTTGGCCATGTGGTGCATGTAATCTCCCTTCATCTTCACTCCAGCCCCGGGAGGAAGGTGTTGCTTTCCCATTTTATAAATGGAGTAACTGAGGCTCAGGGAGGTTCTGGCTTGCCGCAGTCAAATAAATAGTGAGCGGGAAGTTGGAATTTGAACACAGATGTGCCTTAGTGTAAGGTAGTTGGGTGGATGAAAGGGAACTTTGACCTTTTTCAAGGCCGTATCATCAGAAATTATTCCTGTGCATCTGCTAACAGTCTCTTTTACAGAAGAGGTCACTCTTTGTAGGTGGTGATGTGAGGAGTCCTGGCCCTGGGGGCAGTAGTCGTAACAGCAGTAACAACAATAGCAGATAATGCTCACTCAGCATTTCTTATGAGCCCCTGGCCATCCCCAGTGCTTTACTTGTAAAAACTTACTTAGCCCTTGGCCACGCACTGCCCCAAGGGGGTACTGTTTCACCCATTCTGTAGATGTGGACAGGCACACAGAGGTTAAATAAATTATCCTGTGATCCACAGTCAGGGGCAGAGGCAAGATTCAAATCCAGACAGGCAGCCTGGCTCCAGAGCCCACACTCTTAATTTCATTATACAGTATTATGGTATTTTCTAGACAGCTGTTTTTCTTCTTCTCGAAATCTTCTTTGATACCATGTACTTTTTTTCAATTTCTATTCTGCCCAGTGTAACATTCCTGATCTCCTGATCTCCTTTAGCACACATTTAAATTTGTTTTTTTACGTTGGAGTCACAAGGTACCTGTAGAGGTTCCTCAAGACAGTTTGCCAATGGCATGGGAGTTTAATTTGTGCCTCCCCTAACTCCTCTGTTTCTTCTCATTTCTGCCACAAGAGGGCTCTAAGACTTGGGGACACTGGAGCTCAAAGCCAGCGCTGGCTTCTTTCTTCCTACTCTCTCTCTATATCTTACCGCTCAAATCATGGATTCTTATCCCTACTCTGGAAGGCCCCCCAAGACAGGCCCCTTTTTAGAGTATTTTGTAGAATAGTTTCATTCCAAGAGAATCAAATAGAACCTGAGAGACTGTGGGTTCACGGGTCCATTTGTCAGCCTTCCACAGCTGATGGCATCTGCTCCCAAGAAGGCTCAGTGTGGTCTGTGCCCAGCCCAGCCCTTGCCAGGGCCACCTGCTGACCTGGCCACATCACCGGTACTATTCGATTCATCAAACTCTCTGGCTGGACGGCACCATCCGTTGGTTGTGGGTCTGTTACTGACCATTCTGCGTGCAAGCTTCCGATTCGATACGCACGGCCCCGAGGAAATCTTCAGGGCTATCTCCCTCTCATTCTGTGTGGGCCTTGCTCAGCCTTGCTCCCGTGGATAGCAGAGTGTGACCCCCAAGGGGCATTTAGGCAAGACTTTAAGCCAGTTCAACATATTCGATTCTTAGTTCTCAATCAATTCTTTTCTCTTGTAATTTTGAAGCACTGCTTTGCTTCCTTCTGATTTTCCATAGCACCAAAACACCCTCAATTACATATTCCTAAATACAAAAGCAATAAGGGAAATGTCAGCACTCATTTTCCAAATGTTTACGACCATACCTTGGTCTGGCTATTAAATACTGCACGTTAAAATTGACAAAGCAATAAACAAGCTTCCAGGAGGACAGCCTCCGGTCTGGAGAGCCAGCTTGTCAGGGGTGTATTCTGCTGGGATTTCATTGATGGGCAGTCAGGATGAATATTTAATACCTTCTGGATGCTGCCAAATCTGTTTTCTCCAATTTCTTACTGCTGACCTAGCAGACTGGGAATGCTGGGGGCTTTTTCTTTGAGTTCTGTGAGTCCAGGGCACGTGACAGTGGCTCTCCCTGTCACACAGTCTGGTAAGTGACAGGCTGCCGCATCCTTCAGAGGGATTAGCCCCTGCTGTCTTTCAGGAGAACCTGCAGTGAGGCCGCCAGGGCATGGCTGGGTTACTCCTAATTAGCTGTTTCCACTTCTAGACTTTTGTTACTTCCTTCCAGTGCCTTCCACAAGCAACGTTCAAGCACCAACTGTGTACCAGTCTCCGTGCTGGGTGCTGGGGCTGCCGAGATGGGTGTGTCACAGTTCCTGTCTCCTGGGCTCTCCTGGGAAAAGAGAAGCGCAGGAAAGCTTCAGGGGTGGTGGTGGAGCCGGCCTAGGGGGTGGGCCTTAGGCCTGAGGATGGAAGGGGCTTCCCCGGGGTGGGTGCAGGGAAGGAGCAGCGGGGCCTTTCGGCTTGGAATAGGGGGCCTTTCGGCTCGGAA